AAGGCACAAATGGATGGATTGATGGATTTTGTTGTCTAATCCAGTCTGTTACTCTTTGTATTTTGATTGGTGAGTTTAGTCCAGTGACATTCAATGTAATTAAATTTAAATGTAGATTAGTCACTGTCAAATCCTATTTTGTGTGCTTGATATTTTCCTTTCTTCACCTTTATGGGGTAGTGTGTGTGTATGTGAGGAATTTATTCATGTCTTCGTTTCTCCACTAGATCTGTAATGTTTGGGGTATTGTATCCAGTATGTTGGTTTCTGGGTGATGTTGCGCCCTGTGTTTGAGTTCTGTGGTTGTTGGTTTTCTGCCCATAAAGCCCTGGATAGTATTTTTTATAATGCTGGTTTTGTTTTTAAAAATTCTCTAAATATTTTCTTGTTTGAGAAAACTTTTATTTCTCCTTCAAATTTGATGGAAAGCTTTGCTAGATAAAGGGTTCTTGGATTACAGTTGTTGTTTTTCAACTTTTGAAATATGCTGCTGCAATTTCTTCTTTCCTGCATGGTCTCCGCATAGAGGTCTGAGCTTATTCTCATCTGTTTACCTTTATATGTGCTTTTTTCTCTCTAGCTGCTCTAATGATTCTCTCCTTTTCCTTGAAGTTGGATAATTTGACGACTATATGTCTTTTCTTTGGGCAGCGGCAGCGGGGAGTGGGGGTAATCTATTTGGTGTTCTCTCTGCTTCCTGGATGGTTATCACCTCCTCCTTTGTGATATTGGGGAAATTTTCTTCCAAGAATTCCATTAATATTTTAGCTGTTGGTTTGTTTCTTCCTGCTCATGCACCCCAATAATTTGAATATTATTCGCTTCATTGTATCTCACATCATCCTCAGGCTATCTTCAGATTCTTTTGCTTTTTTGTTTGATTTTTTTCTCGTTTGCTGAATTCTGCTGGGCTACCTTTGAGTTTACTGGTTCAATTTTCAATTTCTTCCATTCTATTGGTCAAGTCTTGTACTTTGTATTTTATTACTGGTACATCATTCCTTAGTTACTGAGTTTCCTTTGGGTGTGATGGTTCTAGTAGCTCCATTTTTCCTTTTTTTTTTTTCAGGTCTGATTTCCCAACCTCTCGTAAAACCTTTATCCTTTTTATTTCTTGTATTCTTAATTGGCAGTACAAGGGTTTCTTCTGTGTATTTCATTGGGTTTGGGTAATCTTCAGTTGTTGACTTTTCTCTTGATATTTTTTTGTGGTAGCTGCTGCTGATTGTTGTTTGCACTGCATAGTGATCGCACTGTAGATGATGGGTTGTGTAGGGGGGCTTATGGGTTGTGTAGGGGGGAGAGGTTGGCTCTTTAGGTTAAAGGAGGATCAGATACGAACTGGAAATCATAGTGTGTGGAGATGAGGAAGGAGTGATAGTTGGGTGAAGAAGGAATAGGATATGACTGCTCAGGAGTAGGTTTTAAGTGGCAGTACTATACTTAACAGGAAAGTTTCCTGTTAAGTATAGTATAGTAATTTTTGATGAGTTGGATAAGAAGGTTATAAGAGATGTGTTGTTACTTAGAGGATTATAAGAGAATGTGTCTTACTGAATTGGAGGAAGGGTCTTGAGGTAATGGTGGTTGGGGTAGGTGAGGGGTATATTATGAAATCTACCATAGTCACTTATTGACCCTTATATAGGGACAGTGCAGCCCTTCTATGTATGTGGCCCCAAGGTGGAAATAGGCTATTAGAGTGGAGGCCCAAAGTGGGAGGAGAGGGAATGTGGAAGCCGCTGAGAAACACAGGAATCCGGGGTTCTGGTTCCTCTGGTGGGAAAAGGGGTTATGTGATTTTCTTCCTCAAAAGAAAATAGAAACAAATCTAATATACTCTTGAAGCCCCCAGAGGGTTCAAGTCGTGTTCCTGACTTACCTTTGCAAGAAGGCGGAGAAAGGGGATCCAGTAATAGAGCATAACTATGAAGTCTCTGTTACGCAGACTGCAGTGAACTCTAGCATCCAGGGCTCCCAGTGGCCCATGAGGGCGTAGGGCTATGTACTCTACTTGGAAGATGGTCTGGCTTGGGATATTCTCTGAGCTGGTTGGTCTCAGAATTTGGAGAGAAAGAAGAAGGCTGGCATTCGCCACTCTACAGACCCTGCTAAGGGAGGGGAGAAGGGAGACCACTTGCTATAGGGGAAAATTAGAGAAGGAGGTCTAAAGTAATCCTGGAGTACTGACAGTCTATGCTCCACATCTAAATTCCCATAATTGGCCTCCTCACCTGTCGATCTCTGGGCCATGCAACGGGAGTTCTAAGCAGGGGACTGTATCTTGGTGCCATCTTCCCAGAACTCCCCCCAAAAATGGTCTTTTTAATGACCATTTGCTTTCTTCATGTATGATGTTCTTGATGCCATCCCAAATCTCATCAGGTCTTCTCTCAATAGTGTTTAATACATTAAATTTGTTCTTGAGATGCTCTCAAAATTTAGATGGGATAGACTCAATATCCTATTTTGGCTCTGTTAGATTTGTTTTCATTTTCTTCCACTTCAGTCTGGACTTACATATGAACTATTGATGTTCTGTTGCATAGAGGGCCCCTGGCTTGGTTTTAACTGCTGATATTGAACTCTTACCACAGATAAAGTCCATTTGATTTCTGTGTATTTAATATGGTGAAGTTCACCTGTATAGTCATTTTTTGTGTTGTTGAAAAAAGCTGCTCAGCATGGCATTCAAGGCTTTCATGCCTCGGCTAGTCCTTATGGCATTTGCTTCTCAAGTCTCTACATTAATTAATTCATTTATTCAGTTTATTCCACAAATATTTATTAAGTATCTTCTAAATACTCTATGCATATTTTTGGCATTGGGGATTCAGCTTTCATGGAGCTTATAGTCTACTGGGGAGAGACAAATACATAATATACACAAATAAATATTAAATATATAAGATAGTTATTGGTGCTTTGTAGAAAAACATAAGCCGTAAAGTAGTATAAGGAAATAGAAATAACTAGTTAATGGAACTATTCTATTTCTGTTGGTAAGGAAATGCCTATCTAAGGAGGTGACATTTGAGTGCATTGAGAGTAGGCAAAAAAAAGTACTAGATTACCTGGAAGGGAGTGTTCTAGACAGTGAGAACAGTAAGTACAAAAACCCTCAGGAGGAAGGGTAATTGGTATGTTTGGTATAAGCAAGAAGGCCAGTGTGCCTGGAATTGATTAAATGATGGGGAGAAATCAGAGAAGAAACAGGGACCAGAATGTATAAAGACTTTGGGGCTATGGCATGGGCTTTGGCTTTATTCTGAGGGAATTTGGAGTCATGGGAGGATTTTGAGCAGAGGAGGGATATGAACTGATTGGATTTCAAAAATGTTTCAGGGATGAATTTATCATTGGTACTAGAACACTAAGCAAAAAACCAAATAAACAACAACCCCCCATAGACAATTGTTAGTTCATTAGGAAAACAAAAGATGCATAAGAATAGATATGTAATTAGAATGTACCATGTGTTTTAGATGTAAATAACATTATGTCATACTCTTGAATAAAATGAATATTGGTTGTATAAAAATTGTATGAAATGTCTAAAGAAATAAAAGATGCAATCAAAGATGAGCAAGCAACAAGCAACTATTAGAAATAACTAGGCAGATATTAGGAAATTAAATACATGAAGCTTATACATATGAAAAATATGATTGTTGAAATAAGCAACTCAACAGAGACATTAAATGTCAGATAAGAGAGCACTGAAGAGATAATAAGTCAAGGAAAGATATAGATGTAGCAATTACCCAAAGTGAAGCAAAAAAAAAGGAGTCATTGCTGACTCATAGAGACCCCCTGTTTTTTTGAGATGGTAACTGTTTACGGGAGTAGAAACCCCAGTCTTCCTCCCACGGAGCTGTTGGTGGTTTCAAACTGTTAATCATGCAGATCACAGACCAACACATAAACAATACATCACCAGGGCTCCTAGAGTGAAGCAAGAGAAGACAAAAGAAAAAGAAAACATATATGTTAAGAGGTCTGAGAAAAAAACAAAATAGAAATAATGGAAGAAAGGCAATATTTGAAGGGATGATAGCTGAGAGACCCAGAAAATAGAGAAAACATAAATCCACTGAGTCACAAAGCAAAATGTTTCTGGAGTAGAATCAAGAAGCCCATGCTTAAATAGGCTAGAATGAAACAGCAAAAACCCCTGCATATATCCCTTCGAAAATAAGAGAGAAAAGACCTTCGAAACAGTGTAAGAACAAACCATCTCCAAAAAAGCAGCAATTAGATGGTGCAACAGCTAAAAGGTAGACTTGTCAAGGTAAAAGAAAATGGGGTTGTATACTCTTTAAGTGTTAAGCAAAAACACTTGCAGCAAACAATCTTTTGAGAGTGAAGGTAAAATAAAGACATTTACATATGGCAAAGACTGAAAGAATTTAATACTAAGAGACCTGCATTAAAACAATATCTACACATGTATTCAAAGAGCCCTGATGGTGCAAACTGTTAACTACAAATTGGTTGGCTGTTTGGCCTCACCCAGCAACTCTGAAGGAGCAAGATCTGGCTATCTGCTTCTAAAAGATTACAGCCAACAAAATCCTATGAGGAAGTTATTCTCTGTCACATGGGGTTGCTATGAGTTGAAATCAACTCAATGGCACACAATAATGAACACTGTAGTCACAATGAAGTAGAATGATTCCAGTAGGATAGTTGAGATGCAAGAATGTATATATGTAAGTCCAAACATACACTGTCTATAAAAATAATAATAGATAATATGTGAGGCAAAAAAATAACACAGTTTAAATCATTAGTATGTAGGTAAGGAAAAGAATAACTAGATTCAAAGGTTTCTAAGGTTCTTGTATTCTACAAGAGAGGAGTAAAAACACCATTTAATTTTACACTGTATGAGCTAAATATAAATTGGAAGAATAACAACAAAAAGAAAAATAATATGTAAATTCCAAAATGCAAGGGAAAAAAACTTAAAAAGTAAAACAAATTTCGCAGTTGAAAAAGAAAACACATTTCAAAATTAAAAAGGCAAAAAATAAAGCTTAGAGGGGAGAATAGAAATTATAAAAGTATGGGACTTTTAAAAAGTTTATCCATACAAACACAAAGTATGAAGGTATGAGAATATTAAAAAGTAAAGGATGGAAAATTATATATCACACAAATAATAACAAAAAAACCTGTACCATTATAGTAATATAAAACACTTCATGGAGAAATGTGTTATCAGGTTAGAGAGGGTCAATAAAATAATTTCAAAGTATATAAAGCAAAAGGGATATACCTACAAGGAAAATTTGATAAATCCACAATTACAGTTGAATATTAACAATCTCTTTCAATCATTAGTATATCACAACAAACAAATTAGTATAGACAGAGAAAAGTTGAATACAATTAACAAATTTGATAAACATGTAGATTTCCATATTTAACAATTAAAAATACACATTCTTATAAGGCACATAGGAAACATTTTTAAATTTATCACTTACTAAAGCTAAAACAAGTCTGAATAAATTTTAAAGAATTGGTACACAGACCACACCCTCTAATCATAATCCAATTAAGATAGATTTCAATAACAAATAGATAAATTTTAAAGTCTCCAAGCAGTTGAAAACTGAAAAACACATTTCTACAATAAATCACAGGTTATAGAAATATCAAAAGACTTTAAAATGAGTAATAATGAAAATACTATACAGTGATACCTCAGTTGTTGAATGGCTTCAAGCTGGAACTTTCCACTACTCGAACAGCAAAGTTCAAAAAAAAATCTGCTCCGTGTTCAAAACTTTACTCAATAGTAGAACCAAAAACCTGACTTGAAAAAATCTGTACCAGCTGACGGAGTCAAGTCTCACCGAGAACCCAAAGGAGTGACGCCTCAGTCTAAGTTCCATTCTAACTCAGACAACATCGACTGCTTGTCTTCGTGCACGAAAACATTCGACACTGCTTTTCTGTGTGTTTCATTTGTGCCAAATTTTGTAACCATTGCTCTAAAGAAAGTTAGTGATACCAGCAGTAAAGCTAAGAGGAAAACTGTGAGAACCACAATAGAGGTAAAGAAAGAAAGAAATTGTGAAATTTGAATCAGGTTGTCTGATTTGGCAGCTGAGTACAACATTGCTAAGTAGACATTATCAAGATTGGGGGGGTGGGGTGGTTAAAGCGGCTAATGTAGGTGTGAAATCGTTAACTCAGAAATTAAGAACCCAGACCACTGAAAAGGTTGAAAAGTTACAGTTAATCAGAAACAACTTGATGTTGATAGTGTACCGGAGACAGTGATATGTAAGGCAATCCATAGTGATTTTAAGTGCCGGAAAAATGAATTTATAAGTGTAATTTGGGGGTCTCTGAACCAATTATTTGGTTTCCATTATTTCTTAGGGGAAAATATGTTCAGTTCTTGACCTTGGTGTTCGCACATGAACTTGGAATGAATGGAGTTTGACAACCATGGTATCACTGTATATCTAAATTTGTAGAAAAGCAATATTTATAGAGGGAAATTTATGTACTTAAGTGCACAAATTGGAAAACAAGACAGGCTGAAAATTAACGAGCTTAATGTTTAATTTAAGAAGTTAGAAAAAGAACAAAAGAATAAACCCAAAGAATGTGGAAGGAAGAAGATCAAAAAAGATAAGAGCAGAAATTAATGAAATAGAAAACAAAGACACAATAGAGAGGAGCAGCAAAGCCAAAAGTTGATTCTTAGAAAAGACTAATAAAATAGACAAACTTCTGGTGAAATTGATCAAGAAAAAAAGGGAGAAAGCACAAATAACCAATATCAATAATGAAAAAGGAGACATAACTGCAGATTAGATATAGCAGAAAATAAAGTTATACAGAAAAAATAAATAATATAATAAAATTATAAGGAAATCTTATGCCAATAAATATGAAAACAAATAAAATGTACTAATTCCTAGAAAAGTTAGCTTACCAAAATTGACTCAAGAAAAAATAGAAATGCTGAGTAGTCCACACACCTAGATAGTTCCTACCAAAATAGCAGAGTTTTCTAGTTGGTATGTGGGTTACAGGGAGGTAAAGAGATATTGAGCTCCTCCTCTCTTGAGGTGTCCAGGTGAGACTTGTGAAAATTGAGCCCTTAAGCAAGTCACCTCTCTCTATCAGCAGTCTCCTTTTGAGACCCTTAGATGGCTCTTAGTAAAGTGGGGTCTGACAAATCCCTCCAAAATCTGTGACAGTGATAAGCATGAATGAATAACATCCAGCATTCAGTTATTGTTTTATGGCTAACATATTAAATAAGGCCAAAGAGATGATTTATCACTTGGACATCTTCAGTAGCCAGCTGCATGATCTTCTGCTTATTGAAGACAAAGAGTCTGTGGAGCTGCTGGAGGAATCTGTGCTGCAGTTTCCAAGGAACACCATGCACAACCCAAGTTGTGGCTGGTTGGGTGCAGGGAGGCCAAGCAGGGGCTTCTGGAGGATGTAGCTCCAGGTGACAGCCCTGAAACTATGTCTTCACAAATTCTATCCGTTTGCAGATGATGTGCCTTTTTAGTGGTGTCCAAGCTAGCTGCAGAGTGATGATTCTAACAATGGTGAATATTCTGCAAATAAGAGCTTCGTCATTATTATGGAATAGTCAATATGGAAAAGGTCAAATGGATGGGAAATATACTCATATTATCACAAGAAATCTTAGCACCAGAGACACAGTGTGGGAATTGTGCCCGGTCTGACCCCCCACACACCAAGGAGTAACACAAAGGGAGCACAGCACAGCAGCAAGGGGAGCAAAGCAACAAAGTCCAAATAGACCTTGGGCTTGGTGGGGGCAAGGCTTGGCGCTGCATGAGACCCCCATCAGAAAATATTCATAAGGGTCAGCAGACAAACCTGGAACTATTCATAAGCTATTTTTTTCTTTTTCATGTATATTTATAGAAGATAGGATAAACAATCCGGAGAGTTCCCCCGGGACAAGGGGTAGCCAACAAACCTCAGGACAAGGGAACAACAAAAGATCTAAATCAATGGCCAGGAGGGCATAGAATGCCTGGTGGGGTTCCATCAAGTGCAATGTAGCCCAAATGAAGGTCGAACATGAGAGTGGGACAGGAGGAAAGTAAAAGGAAATAGAAGAAAGAACTAGGAGGCAAAAGACATTTATAGAGGTATAAAAATAGGCGTGTACATATGTAAATATATTAATATATAACAATAGGGATATAAGTCTATGTGTATATATTTATAGGTTAAGTATTAAGGTAGCAGATGGGCATTGGGCCTCTACTCAAGCCCTCCCTCAATGCAAGAATACTTTGTTCTAATAACCTGGCATTCTGTGATGTTTACCTTCCCAACATGATTGCTAAAGACAAAATGGGTGCATAAGCTACTTTGGTGAAGAAAGCTGATGGTGCCTGACTATTACATGAAAGCACATCTGGGGTCTTAAAGGCTTGAAGATAAATAAGTGGCCATCTGGCAGGGAAGCAACAAAGCCCACATCGAAGAAGCACACCTACCCGTGTGATCATCAGGTGTGGGACCAAGTACCAGGCATCAGAAGACCCCAAACAAACAACCATTTCCATGGGAATGAGGGTGCTCAGAATGGAGACCCAAAGCTCATGTGTAGATAATTGGACATTCCCTCACAGAAGGCTCACAAGAAAGGGACAAGACAGCCAGGGTGCAATATAGCACTGACAAAACACACAACATTCCTCTAGTTCTTTAAGGCTTCCGCCCCACCCCACCCCCGCACTATTATGACCCCAATTCTATCTTAAAAATCTGGCTAGACCAGAGCATGGGCACTGGTACAGATAAGAGCTCTAAACACACAGAATCTAAGACAGATAAACCCCTCAGGACCAATAATGAGAGTAGCAATACCATGAGGGTAGGGGGAAGGTGGGAGAAGGAGAAGAGGGGAGCCCCCTCCCCTACAGGGGGATGAACAACCAAAACGTTGGTGAAGGGAGACAAAGGATGGTGTAAAATATGAAAATAAAAACAATTTATAAATTATCAAAGGTTCAGGAAGGTGGGAGGGTTGGGGAGAGAGGGGGGAAAAGAGGAGCTGATATCAAGGGCTCAAGTAGAAAGAAAATGTTTTG